AAAAAAAAACCAAACAAAAAAAAAAAAAAAAAAAAAATGAAATACCACTTTGCACCCAGTAGAATGACTACAATAAAAGACAGACAATATCAAATGCCAGCAAAGATGTGGAGAAATGAGAACCCTCATACGTCACTCGTGAAAATGCAAAATGGTGCAGACACTTCGGAAAAGAGGCAGTTCTTTAAAAGCTGGTAAAAGACCCAGCAATTCCACTCCAAGGAATCTATTCCAGAGAAATGAAAAACGTACGTTCACACAAAGACACGCAAAAGACTGTTCATGCTGGTTTGTTCGTAATAGCTCCAAACTGAAAACAACCTAAAAGTCCATGGCAGGGAGCAGGGGACAGTGAGTAGATAAACAAAATAGAGTAAATCTATACAATGGGATGTTGTCAATTAAAATAAAGTAAATATATGCACTAAAATGTGGATGAACCTCAAAAACATTTTGAGTGAAAGAACCCAGACACAAAAGATCACATATTGAATGACTCCATTTATTTATGTATGTATTTACTTCTATTATCAATAATTTTTCTTTATTTTTAGAGTCACATATTGAATGACTCCATTTATTTACCTACTTGTTTACTTTTATCACTTTTTTCTTGAGACAGGGTCTCACTCTGTCACCCAGGCTGGAGCACAGTGGCACAATCACAGCTCACTGCAGCCTCAACCTCCCGGGCTCAAGCTCTCTTGCCTCTCAGCCTCCCAACTAGCTGGGACTCTAGGCATGCACCACCACACCCAGCTAATTTGTGTATGTTTTGTAGAGACAGGGTCTCACTATGTTGGCCAGGCTGGCCACCGTGCCAGGCTGACTCCATTTACTTCAAATGTCCAGAAAAGGCAGGTGGAAGTAAGGATTAACCGCAAACAGGTACAAGAGAATGTTCTGGGGTAATGGAAATGTCCTAAAATTGGATCGTGGTGATGGCGGCACAATCTGTAAAATCACTAAGTCATTAAATAGGCTACTTACAGTGGGTGAATTTTATTATATATTAATTTTACCTCCATAAGGCTGTTTAAGAAACAAACTCTGCTTTCTGCCACAAGACCCCAGTCAACCCCATTTCCTAAAAACCATCTGGTTTACCAGGCAGCACACTCTGTTCATCACAGCAGGACATGGGGGAGGCAGTGAGACCATGGGTCGAAGTCATCTGTCCTAGGTTCAAATCCCTGTCCCGCCACCTTGTCCTGAGCGGTGACTTTGCCACTCTGAGCCTCCGTTTCCCCTTCTGTAAAGGATGGATGGTGCCAACCCCGGACTGCACTGGGATTGGCATGGGTCACCTGAAATTATGTGTACAGCAGAGCCTGGCACATAGCTGGTATTCCATCAAGTGCTAAGCACACTGGCTGTTGGTATGAATGCTATAATTAGCTTGAAAATAATCAGGTTCTGCCATTGCAAAAGAGAAAGACAACAGTCTTTAATGTTGAACTTCCCAATACCATATTCTGTCATTCTCTCATGCCACTTTCAAACAGCATGGCATGACAAGTTACATTTATAATTTTGTCCAAGAAACTCCGCAAGATTTACTGACACCTTCCACCTCCCAGGACACATTTTAAAACCGGGAACTTAGGCAGCGCGAGGCACAGGGAATCCCTAAAGGAATAAGACCCAGACCCTGCCTCCTTCAGGGAGGAAAGTGTGGAAACAATTGGATGATCCTTTGCAGCTCATTCATAAAATGTCACAGCTTTGGCTGGGCACGGTGGCTCACGCCTGTAATCTCAGCACTTTGGGAGGCTGAGGCAGGCAGATCGTCTGAGGTCAGGAGTTCAAGACCAGCCTGACCAACATGGAGAAACCCAGTCTCTACTAAAACTACAAAATTAGCCAAGCATGGTGATCCATGCCTGTAATCCCAGCTACTTAGGAAGTTGAGACAGGAGAATCGCTTGAACTGGGGAGGCGGAGGTTGCAATGAGCCGAGATCATGCCATTGCACTCCAGCCTAGGCAACAAGAGCAAAACTCCATCTCAAAAAAAAAGAGTTATAGCTTCCTGGAACACCAGCTATTAAAGCCCGGAGCTGCCAGGGAGGAGGCTGACAGCTGAGGCTGCCATGCTGTGAGGGATCCCAAGCCCCCAGGAGGCCTCACGCAGACGCCAAGTGCAGGGGCCGAGAGACACCTCCATATTATGCCAACCCATAGCCACTCCAGTCGCCCAAAGTCACACCAGCCTTTCCAGCCGAGGTCCCAGACATTGCAGAGCAGGGATAAGCTATCCACACTGTGCCATCTGAATTCCCACCCACAAACCCGTGAGCATGATGAAATGCTGGCTGCCCAGTGCCACCAAGCTTGGAGCAGCTGCTACATGGATGCCATGCTACGCCCTGGGTCTTAATCTTGCAGACAAATGAAGGCACTAAGTCACAGGCCACCTGTACCCCTCCTGTGCCCTCACCTACGTAGGAAGGCAGCACAGGGCACCAACAGGCAGGGCACTCAACCTGCATTGAGGTGAACCCTCAGGTGACAGAACAACTCCCCTGTTCAAGGCATCCTTGAAATGTTAGTGATGGTCTTAAAAATCCTGCTTGAATCACTCCCAGCTCCTGCTGCACCCTACACTGTGAGGAGCTGGAGGTGCAAACTCAGGTGGGGAAACTGAGGCACACACATTTGGAATGGGGTTTTGCTCATCCTTGGGTGGGCAGACGCTGAGGGGGATCTCCATAGGAAGCCCCTCTCTGCCTTCAGTCTCTCACTTGGACGCCGCCCTGAGGCCCAGCATCACTTCCTGAGGGCCCACCCTCTGCTCTCCACTGTCAGGGGGACTCCCAGCACTGAGGGGGCACCACCCTGGCCATGGGAGCACCCACCACCTAAAGGAAGTGAGGCAGGGCCCTGTTCTCAGCCTCAGCAGCTGAGTGTCCACCTCCAGGCATACGGACAGGGAGGCTTTCAACTCACCAGGGCCTGGGTGGCTGCACCACAGCCCAGCAAAGGGCCAAACCCAGCTCTCACTCCTAGAGGGCTGGCACCAGGGCCAGACCCTTCCCCAGACACCTCCCATAGCCTTCAAGGAAGAGGGCCCCAAAGAGGCTGGGCCAGGCAGTGCAGTCAGCCAGAGGGTCCCGCTGTGATACAGAGCTGAGCCCTGGGCCTGCTGAGAGGCTGCCCAGGCCACCCTGTCTCTTGATGGGGGAGATGTGACCCTTGAAGAAGTGACCCAGGACAAGCCTCTTCTCCACAACAAGCCATCTCTTCAGCCTCTATAAATAAGGCGTAGTTTGGACGAGTGACGGTGAAGGGCCTGTGATTCACTGCAGATCCCTAATTTAGAAATGCGGAAGAGAAATCTGGCAGGGACGCCTCCTCCACCACATCCTCCCCTCACGCCCCCCGCAGAGGCCAGAGAGAGCAGCGCCCGCCCAAGGTCACTCGGCAGGCAGCCAGGACAGCACAAGAACCTGGCCCGCAGCGCCCAAGCCCTGGTCCTCTCCCTCCTACAGAAAGTAGCAAGAAGAGCCGAGGACATGGCAGGAGGGATCCAGGCACAGACGGGACCCAGGTATTTCTGAGCCAGGCTGCATGCTTCTGAGATCGCACTTAGGCAGATTTCTTAGAAGAAAGATCAATCTCACTCACACTACTCACTCTGTTTGGGCTCGGTGGCTCGTGCCTGTAATCCCAACAGTTTGGGAGGCTAAGGCGGGAGGATTATTTGACCCAGGAGTCTAAGACCAGCCTAGGCAACATAGCAAGACCCTATGTCTACTAAAAATAAAAATAATTGGCTGGGTGTGGTGGTGAGCACCTGTGATCCCAGCTTCTCGGGAGGCCACGGTGGGAGGATCCCTTGAGCCTGAGAGGTCAAGACTCAAAGCCAGTCCCATGGCCGTCTCGGAGGGAGAGGCTGTTTCTCTGAAGCTGTTCAGGGCATAAGAATCTGGAAGGGCCTGGGAGGCAGTGGGTTGAGTCCCAAGCCTTCCAGGCTCCAGGTCTGTGTTCCAGTGCCCTGGGGAGAGGCCTGAGGGTCTCAGGGGGCCCTTGGGTCCCAGATGTGTGTCTGCCTCGAAAGGACCGTGGCATCGGCATGGGGGGAGCTCCCTGAGCCCCAGGGAGTACAGGCAGGTTGCCGTCAACTCACCAGTCAGACCCCTCTGGGGCTCTGTGGCCCAGCCCTTATCTGGTCCCTGTTTTCAGAGCAGCAATACCAGGGTACCGGGAAAGAGCAGAAGCTGACAGTAAGATCCAAGTGTGCGCCTGACCCAATAAGGCTCCTTCCTCACTATCACATTGCTCGGCAACCTCAACTGCACACTATTTTTTTTAAGAGACAGAGTCTTGCTCTACCCCCCAGGCTGAAGTGCAGTGGTGAAATCATAGCTCACTAAAGCCTCAGCCTTCTGGGCTCAAGCAGTCCTCCTACCTCAGCCTCCCAAGTAGCTGGGACCACAGGCGCACCACCACACCCAGCTAATTTTTGCATTTATTGTAGAGACGGGATCTTCCTGTTGCCTAGGCTGGTCTCAAAATCCTGGATGCAAGCGATCTTCCCACCTCGGTCTTCCAAAGTGCTGGGATTGCAGGCATGAGCCTCCACAGTGGCCCAAGTATTGCTTCTTAAGAGAACAATTTCAGTGATTCTAGATGGGTGGCGCATAAATTCTACACCCGGGGAAATCCAAATTCATGAATTTTTTCTGCTTCTGCAATTCCAAGTGCCAAGTGGCTTGATGGTAGGGCAGGAAAACAGAAAATGTTCCTTCCTTTTTCTTGGGCCCGAGCTAATGACAGCTATGACGTTACTGAAAAAAGA